ATCTGTTTCTTTAGATACTTGGAGTAATATAGGTGTATGGAGCACATTTAAAGAAAACATAAATGAGAAACTGCTTTCCATGTGACACCTCCTTCAAGAGATATGTTGTCCATTTTATAAGCACTGTTTATTATCTGAGGAATGGTTCTTACAGAATCAGCAACTATAAAATTATATGTGATATCAGAAGATAATGCCAGGGTATATATGTAGAACAATATGTCTGTGACAGCTATCAATTTATTGGCTCTCAGCTCCGGATTAACCCTTCAATCAAGTGTCTGTGGTGATGGGCAGGGTCCTTTTAAGCATCTCTCCTTTACAGTCAGCACGATGTTAAGCTCTTCCCATAGGGGGCGCTGTTGGGGCCGCTGGTGGCTGCTGCCTGATGGGTCAGTGGTATGGGTGTGAGGACATCTGATGGAGTTCTGCTCCAACCACTGCCTACAATTGGTGGTGCCTTGGGACCTTGCAGCCTCATTCTGGCCATAACCTTCTCCTGGGCCTGTGGATTACAAACTTGAGCCCTGAAAGATTCCTGCAGGATCAGTGCCCGGAAAGCCTTCCGCCGACATTGGCTCCTCACTCTCTGCAGATCCTGTGTGGATCACCTGTGACCTGGAGGGTTCCCACTGATGAGTCACACCTGCTGCAGGCCCTCACTCTCTGTGCACAGCCAGGCCGTAGATTGCTGGTGGACTGACCCTGCCTGCACTCTGGACAGTTGTTTCCTATGTGCTCAGGGACTGCAGAGCAGTTCCAGCCTGGGCAAACCAGCTAACTTCCCTGCTATGTGGGTCGAGTTCAGTTCTCCAAGGAGGTCTGAACCTCAGAGTTGGGACTTTTTCCCAGCTTGTCTTTCCTTGAGTACTCTTCCTTAACTCTAGGATACCAGACAGAATTTCCTTATGTCCTATCATCACTCGTTTATCAGAATAACTCTTTATATAAATTATATTTCCCCCGTTCGACCTACTGTAAAGCAATAGCAATGCTGATGTCTTAGCAAGAAATACAGCTGCCTTTCCACTTAGAGAATAATTTATAGAATGAAGTAGGAATCAGTGAGCCAGTTTTTTCATTCACAACTTTTTTCTTGCCTAATTTTGATTTTAGAGTTTCAAAATTGGGTGACAGCTGCTTTCATTTCTCAAAGGAAATGAACACAGTCTTGTTTCATTAACTAGATTGTCAAATCCACACCAGGAGAGGTTCTAATTCATATGAAGGATAAAATTTGTGATGAAGCAACAGGAATCTGATTCCCACTGAATCAGTAAAGTTCCCACTGAAAAGGCCAGTTGATTAATTTCAGTCAGGGCAGAACTTAAAATTACTGGCAACGTGTGATAAAACTGATTCCTTTTGAGGAAAAATAGTGCAATTAAATCGGAATAAGTGCATAACTTGTTTAAAACAGATCTAGGGAAGAGTGAACAGGGGACAAAATCTGTATCACAACCTTGGCGAATATGTAAAAGTAGTGGAGACAGTATAAACTTATAATTATATAGCTAATAGAATAAATATGACAGGACTTTCAACTTCTAAGGTTATTTTTATTTTTAAATTAACTTCAATTTCTCAGTTTTTTATTTAAATTTTAAAAATTATTCAGATTATTAAATTCATGTTAGTCTTATTGTGATCATTAACAGTAGGAACTGTACAGATGATTGGCAGTGGTTCTCAAATGTTAAAATACATCAGAATAACATGGGAAACTTGCCGAAATGCACATTCCAGCAGACTTGGTTATGTCATAGCAATTGGAATTTTTAACAAGCATTCCAAGGATTCTGATGCAGATCGTATCCTGACCACACTTTGAGAAACCATGATTTAGTTTCTGAATGAGCTCCCCATTAAGAAATGTGAAGTTTTATTTAGAAATTAATAAGACAACCCTTTCTGATATTAAAATGGTCTTTATCATTTTATCCTATGCATCCCGAAGAGTTAAGGCAGCAGGAAATACTTTATTCCAATAATCTATTCCTGTGTAGAAGAGCCCATTCACATTCACCTGACCACTTTTTATACCTTGTTAGGAAATGAAGTTATTTCTGGCTGTAGTTCTTCCTTTTTCTAACAGTAAGGTGAATAAAACTCATGTTGTTCCAAAAGGAAAATAATAACTCCAACCTAACAATGAAGCCAGCACTACCATGGACAATTAAACTGAAGACAAGTAAATTTGGAACCATGTAAGAATAAAAAGCCAACATTTCCCTGGGTATCCAGAGACCCAGTATCTTAATAAGAGATGCCTGAATAACATACGAGTTTAAAGGTAGAGCTTAAAGCATATATTTACCATTTAAACTCATGAATTATTTTAGGTGAGAATATTAACAGTGGAGGAATAGGAAAACTGGGATGTCCCAGGCTGTTTCTCCTTTATAGCTCCCTCAAAGGACCTCAGTTAAGCCCACACTCCTCACCTTAAAAGACAGCCACTGATTCTTAGGGGTGGATCCACACTTGTTAATCTTCTAGTCTGGAAACCAGCTGTGCAAAACAAACCCTAAAATGTTCCCCTACAGCAAAGGAAAAGATGTTTGGTTTCGACACCGTCTCGTCTCGTAGAGAAACTCAGGCACTTTCACTGTGGATCCTCCCTTCATTCTTTGGGGTTAAGTGGCCACCGCAAGAAACAAAACAGCATGAGAAATGGCTGAGTCAGCCAACATGTAGTGACATGCCCAGGAACTTCTCAAGTGGCCCAGGAAGTGGAGGCCTCCTGATTTTCTCGCAGGACATTGTCCTTTCCTGGAACCTTGCAGGTGGCTAGAGTATCTGCATTTGGAGTATTGCAAGATTATCTCACCTGACTTCTGACCAGAAGTATATCTCCAAAATGATCACATCCACAGAGACAATTATTGACTGTGAACAAACATTCTCAGTGACATCACATGTGTTCTGAAACCCTGACCACCAACATGCTCCTGACTGTTTTCATGGTCTTGGCAAAGGATACTGTTGGGAGAAAGAAGGATGGTTTCTACTGTAAATGACATTTTAAAAATAGTGGGAGAAGAATGCAAAATGGGAAAGGGATAAATACATAGATTTCTAGCTAAACGCATTTAAAATGAAACTTTGAAATTTTGGTTAGTGATTTCTTTAAAGCACAGAGGTCAAGTCCTACTACAATAAATATCACATTCACCTAAAAATTGTATTTCAAAGTCTCACTTGGTGCCTTACCCATTTCACATAACAGAACAATGTTTCCATGTAATGAAAGAATGGATACAATCCTAGGAGTGTCACAAGCTTTCTGATGTTTGTGGCATGCCAAGCAGCATTGACTGTTACTGTGCTGTGGGAGTCAATTACTTTTATGTCTATAAATTAGAAAAGTGGCGGGTGCAGTGGCTCATGCCTGTAATCCCAGCACTTCTGGGGTCAAAGTGGTAGGATCCCTTGAGCCCAGGAGTTTGAAACCAGCCTGGGCAACATAGCGAGACCCCCGTCTCTACAAAAAAATAAAAAAATTAGCAAGGCATAGTGGTGCACACCTGTGGTCCCAGCTACTCGGAAGGCTGAGATGGGAGGATGGCTTGAGCCTCAGAAGCTGAGACTGCAATGAGCTGTGATCACACCACTGCACTCCAGCCTGGGCAACACAGTAAGACCCTTTCTCAAGAAAATAAATAAAAGTTATTGAGAAAGACTGAATATGTAAAATGTTCCCCAGTCAAATTGTGAAAAATGGTAATCTTGAAGAGTGTTGGGAACTGGGAGCCCCCTGGATTCCTCTGAGGAATTTCACTAAGAATAGCTGTAGGTGTTTGCTGGCTGGCTTCCACCTGGCTTGGCTTGTGAGGGCTCATTCAGGATCAGCAAGACACACAGGTAGTTACTGATGGAGTTAATTTCAGGCCCATGTTGGCCTAAGACTGATGACCATGCAGTGTGGCTATTGAATGCTGTCACTGGTTCTATTGCTTCCCTGGGAGACAGGACCTCTGAATGAAAACACCCCTGGGAAACCAAGGTGCTGTCTTATTTGTATCAATGGAGTCACACAGTATATAAGCTCCAAAGAACAAAGCCATAGCTTTGGTTGACTATGCAAAGGAAACTTCTGGGTGGCCAGTTGTTTATAAGTTAATCAAAACACATCTCTACTGGAGACCCAAACTATAATTTTGATATTCTTACCTAGGAGATAAAACTTCATTAAGTAATTAAAATGTACTAAGGGGAGAAGGGACATTTGGTTCCCTTGTCATTTTTTTTTACTGCAAAATTTTACTCCCCCAATTTTCTAACACTGGCTACTATGAAACTCGTAAGCCCAAATCAACAAAGGTGGCCACCAGCCACAGATCAAACGTGAAATAACAAATCTACCTACAGCACAGCCTAGGATGTACCATCTGCTCAAAGTATTAGGCTACTGCTATCTCCAGTAGCTGTAAACATAGCCTGGCTGCCAGCCCATAACTCCTCAGCCTTCTACTTCGTTTCTATAGGCTTACAACTGGAGTTACAGAGTAATCTCTGAAATGTTATTATTGAAACACCATAAAGCAAAATCAGTCTTCAGAGGTTAAGGAGGGAGTTCTTAATCAAAGTGTGGTTGACAGGTTTGACATTTTAGAAAACTTTTTTTTTTTAAAGCATCATTAAAACAGTCTCAATAAACAGGCTGTGTTTAGCCCAAATCTTGTTCAGGAGAACAGCATGGGTTCCGTTTTGAATTTTGTTGGATTCTGGATGTCCTCCTCCTATGATATAGGTCTGAGAGTTGTTGTCTTTCTTAATAAAATTTAGCTTTGTTTCCCCACCAGTGATAATGACATGAAGCACTAGGAAATGATGCAATAACCGCAGTGCATGAGGCCATCCTCCTGGGGAAGGTGTGATACAGGAAAAGAGCAGGGGAACAGGACTCCCCCATACTCGGTCCAGTGGAAGTGCAGAATGCCTGCTTGTGTTTGTAAAAATAAGACAGGAATGTTAAGAAAAAGTCTTCACGCTCAACGTGACTATCTTTGGAATTCATTTCATTAAGGTTTTCACAAAATACAAAGCTCAAACGTAATCGTCTACGTCCACCACAAAACAGAATCAAATAAGTGGTTAGCACAACAAACATAATGATCTTTTCCATTTTAAAAAATATAAATAACAATGTTCAAGGTTTTACAGTTTTCTTAGTGTGTGTCTTTTTAAGGCTTTATGTTGCAGACCCTTCATTAATGGTACTTGTACCCTGCCATCAGGATACACTGCCCACCAGCAAGGAAGGCCACTGTGGATACATTCCTGAGGGGGACACACACTGATCCATGTTGCCTCAGCCTGTTAAAAACTAAATGATCAAACACCCTCCAATCAGTTCTCAGTTTCATTAACTTTCTTTCTACTACAAAGTAATAATAGAAAGGGGTACGTGTCCAGCAGCATTCGAGCTCTCAGAAGATCAATCAGGAAGGGCAAGAAGGAAAAAGGCTTCCTCCTGGAGAGAATTTTTTTCCTTTCATCCAGAACAAACACCAGTAACCCAGATAGTTCAAACAGTGGTTTGTACTGAAACATTTTTCAGATTAAATAGTGTTGAGAGAAACAGTGATCTTTTGGTTGGGTATTTTAGAAGAGGTTAAAGTGGAGAGGTTAATGTTGGGAAAACACCACTGAAAGTACAGCCCCCAGCAGGAGTGGGCTCACTCGTGAGGTTTGGGGGCAGAGCCAGGGCCCCAGCCTTGGGAATGAAATCTGAGGGCAGGCTCTCCAGCAGACACTTGACTTGCTCCTGACCCAGCTTGATCTTGTCGTCCAGTTTCCGCTGCTCAATGAGGAGCGTGGACTTCATTTTCACGAAGTGCTGGTAGTCCTGGAGCTGCTCCTCTGAAAGGTAATTGGCCAGGATGCCCAGCACTATCCGCTCCCTGCGATCCAGGTTCTCCTTCAGCTCCCGGGCGTCCTCATGCTGACCAGCCAGGATCTTCCTTTTCTCGTAGAGAGAGCTCTGCCAGGGAAAATCGGACAGATCAATGAGGGCCAGGGAAAAGGAGAAAAGAGCCAGACTCCCTGCAAGGACACCTCTGACAGAACTGGGAAATATCTAAGCTCTAATCCTATTGTCACTCCTAAGTAAGGAGGCTAACTTTTTGAAAATCAGCTTATTATCCTTATATTACATATTACAGCATTCTCTAGTTTATAACATCATAGGGTAGCTTCAGTTTGAGAGGTGTTACATTAAATTGGGGATAAAATTGCTTTCGGATTCTTGACTTTAAAACCAATAATCAGCTGGGCATGGTGGTTCACGCCTGAAATTACAGCACTTTGGGAGGCTGGGACGGGTGAATCACTTGAGGCCAGGAGTTCAAAACCAGCCTGGCCAACAAGGTGAAACCCCGTCTCTACTAAAAATACAAAAATCAGCCAGGCATGGTGGTGCATGCCTGTAGTACCAGCTACTTGAGAGGCTGAGGCATGAGAATTGCTTGAACCCAGGAGGCGGAGGTTGCAGTGAGCCGAGATTATGCCACTGCACTCCAGCCTGGGTGACAGAGTGAGACTCTGTCTCAAAAAAAACCAAAAAAAACCCCCCAAAAATCACGGTACCTTGAGTATATACACTAATATGGTGGTTCTCAAGGTGTGGTTGCTGGACCAGCAGCAGTGGCATCACCTGGGAAATTGTTAGAAATGCAAGGATTCAGGCCCTCTTCCACCTCCTGAATAAAAAACTCTGGAGGTGAGGCCCAGTAACCTGTTTTAACAAGGTTTCCAGATGATTCTTTTGGGGCTAAAGTTTGAGAACCTCTCCCTAATTCATAATAACAATGAGATCATCATATTTCCCATCTCTAAAGAAGTCAGTTTCTATTTTTTCAGTTCTCTTTTGCAGGCCTCTGAATCTAAAATGAGAGAAATTCTGTTGAACAATGATGGCAATGTCATACTCTAAGAGTTTCTTATGCTTCTCTGTGATATTGTAGCATACGTTATCTTTAATGTGGTTCTCTGTCCAACATGCTGACACATAATATCATTTTTAAATTCAAAAAAATTTATATTTAACCATTCAGACATTTTAGGCAAAGTAATTGAGGAGACAAACCCACAGCCAACATTATACTGAACAAGGAAAAGTTGAAAGCATTCCCCCTGAGAACTGGAACAAGACAAGGATGCTCACTTTCACCACTGCTATTCAACATTGTACTAAAAGTTCTAGCCAGAGCAGTCAGGCAAGAGAAAGAAATGGCATCCAAATTGGTAAAGAGGAAGTCAAACTGTTGCTGTTTGCCAATGATAGGATCCTATACCTAGAAAACCCTAAAGACCATCCAAAAAGCTCCTACATCTAATAAATGAATTCAGTAAAGTCTCAGGATACAAAATCAACGTACACAAATAAGTAGCACTGCTATATACCAACAGCGACCAAGCTGAGAATAAAATCAAGTGAGCAAACTTACTTGTATTTAAGAATGGAGGCGTGCATGTAAGTGTTGAATTTAATTCAGTTCTAGAACAATTTATCTTGCCCTAACTAGAAACTTCTCTAGTCTTTCTTATCTCAGATATCTAGAGCATTCATCCAGGTGGCCCAATAGGCAACTTGGAATTATTTTCTGCTCTACCCTTCCCCTCATCTAACATGCCCCTTGCTAATCCAAATTCATTCTCTAATTTATTCCCTCTTCTCTATCCCCAGGACAATTGTCTACATCAATAGCATAAAACCTCCTTGTCTAGACTATTACAATGAGCCTCCCAACTGTTATTTTAACATCAATCTTGCCCCTCCCCAGGCTGACTAAGTCACGAAGTTAGTTCATGACTCTTCCCGACCTACAGGCTGAAGTCTAAAGTCTAGGGTATGACTGCAGTAAGGTCTTTGTGATGATTTTCTGTGCTGGATATTGTGTCTGCCTCTCCAGGTCCACTCTCCTCTGCCCTGTGCTGAGGGAATCTGAACTCTAGGGGTTGCCTCCACTGGGCTCCCTTGCTGTCTGGATTTGACCACGGGGAGTGATGGAAAAGACTGGAGAGTGCAAAAAGAAATTGTGGCATGTATCCCTGGCTGCCTCTGTGCCAGGCTTCGAGTTAGTGGCAGCTGCATTCTTCCACCAGGGCCTCAGTGCTGTAGGGCAGCTACAGCTATGGTTCTGATCAGGGCTCCCTTCCCCTTGCTCCTTCAGAAAGAGGCCGATAATGGCTTTGCTGCTGATGCTAGCTCTGGGTGAGAGACAAGGGGAGGAGCCCTCATTACCCTTTCCTGGTTTCCCCCTTAATCCTTCCCATACCTTCTTTGAACTTGCTTCTTTATCCTTTTTGATGGGGCCATGTACTTTCTGTCAGTTTCTAATATTCCTATAGCTCACTTTTTTTTTTTTTTTTTTTTTTTTTTCCGGAGACCGTCTTGCTCTGTCATCCAGGCTGGAGTGCAGTGGTGTGATTTTGGCTCACTGCAACCTCCACTTCCCAGGTTCAAGCAATTATCCTGCCTCAGCCTCCTAAGTAGCTGGGATTACAGGCACGCGCTACCACACCGGCTAATTTTTGTATTTTTAGTACAGACGGGGTTTTGCCATGTTGGCCAGGCTGGTCTCAAACTCCTGACCTCGTGATCTGCCCGCCTTGGCCTCCCAAAGTGCTGGGATTACAGGTGTGAGCCACTGCGCCCAGCCTTAGCTCACTATTTTTAAAAACAAACCAACGAAGCAATCACTGTATGTTCTAGACATACCAAACCACATGCAAATCAATTCTTAAATATGGCATCTCTTTCTTGACTTTATCCATGGTATTTCTTCTAAATGGTGAGGCCCTTCACCTCTCAGTCCTCTTAGAATTAAGATGTTCTTCTAAACTGTATTCATGTGCCACTGTGTGAAGTCCTTCCTGCCTTACACTCCCCCAACTAAGAAGTGTTTGGTGGCTGTTTCTCACTATGCTCAGCACCAGCACACAATTGCTCCTGCATGCTGCTTTCCTCCATAACTTGTGAGTTCCTGGAGAGCAGGGCCGGTGTCTTAGTCAGCATTTGTCCCCAGCAGACACAGCACCTCATATTTGACAGGCTACTGTTAGCTGTTTGTCGAGTGGAAGAAAGGAGGAAAGGACACACTTCTGAGTTAGGTAGTATCAGACAATTTCTAGATAAGGAAGCTGACTCAGCACATTGACATGAGGTAGATGCTGAGAGTGGTGCTGCAGAGTTCCTAAATGCTGAGTCACTTTCCTAAATGATTAGGATCCAGACTTTTTCTAATCCTTTTAAAATCTATTTGAAAAAGGACATCTTTCCTTTTAATGCAATATATTAGAAATTATTGGAGAATCCATGAGAGCAATGAAAAAGAAAGATGGTATGGTAGGCTGGACGCGGTGGCTGATGCCTGCAATCCCAGCACTTTGTGAGGCCAAGGCGGGTGGATCACCTGAGGTCAGGAGCTCAAGACCAGATTGGCCAATATGGAAAACCCCGTCTCTACTAAAAATACAAAAATTAGCTGGGCATGGTGGTGTGTGCCTAGGAGGCTGAGGCATGATAATGGCATGAACCCGGGAGCCAGAAGTTGTAGTGAGCTTAGACTGCGCCACTGCACTCAAGCCTGGGTGACAGAGTGAGACTCCGTCTCAAAAACAAAAAAAAAAAGAAAAAGTTGGTAGCATAGACAAGAAAAGGAGCCCCTTTTCATGGCTGGAGTACTTTCCATCTTCTAGCATGTATGTACACACACACACACTGTGCACATATATATAAAATAATTGTGTCTACTGTTTGTTGTTCAGTATCAGGAAGGTAGGATCTGTCTGCTTTGCTCACAAATGTATCCCAGTTGTGCCTAGTCCACTAAGTGACACACACAAGACCTCCACTAACTATTTGCTGTACAGATGAGTAGACGAAGAATGCTCTGTAGCTCTGGAATTCTGTTCAATGTAGTGATACAACTTGGGGTCTGCAGTAGGACTCCTATCCTAGCTCCCCCACTGGGCTGTTGTGAGGATTCCATGAGACTGCACATAAGCTTGCAGTGCCTGACAGGTGGAAGGTCTTGGTGAACTGTCTCCAGCGGGGTCAGCACTGTTACCTGTCCCCCTGTACCCTCCCTTCAAGGAGGGGGTGCAGTGGAGACACCCCGGTGCATCCTCATTGAGTGCCTGTGGCCCCTCCTGTAAGATACCCTGGAGCCTTGAGCCTGTGTTTCTGCCCCCTCCCTGTTTCAATGTACTTATCATGTTTTTATCTTTTTTTGAAAGAAAGGAAGGAAGACAGTTGGGAGGAAAGAAACTCTGGTGCCTGTGGTTTTCACTTTCCCAAGAATTCCGTGAACCTTAAGTGTCAGCATTAGATCTTTTTTTTTTTTTTTTTTTTTGAGGTGTTCGCCCAGGCTGGAGTGCAGTGGTGCAATCTCGGCTCACTGCAACCTCTGCCTCCCAGGTTCAAGTGATTCTCCTGCCTCAGCCTCCCGAGTAGCTGGGATGACAAGCATGCACCACGGTGCCTGGCTAATTTTTGTATTTTTAGTAGAGACGGGGTTTCACCATGTTGGTTCACCATCTTGGCTAGGGCTGCCTTGGGCTCCCAAAATGCTGGAATTACAGGTATGAGCCACCACACCCAGCCAGCATTATATCTTGACACAGAAAATGCCTTCTCTGTTTCTTGGTTACCTATATATGTATTCTCTCCCTGCCTCAAACATATTGCCACAAATCCTCCTGAGAGAAAGGATGGCGTCTAATGGCACCTCTCTATGTATGTGGGCTCTGAGGGAGAACCTGTTGAACTGCATCACGAGGCCACCTACCCTTTCTTCATTACTGGCATCTTCACCAAGGCCGCTAAGGACATTCTCAACACGGGCTAGACGCCCTGAGAGGGAGAGCAGCAGGTTGACCACCTTGTCCAAATCCCCTATGAACATCCTATACTTGTCAAACTCATTGGGCTTGCAGAGCTCGCTGATCAGAGCCTCCACCTCTTCTCCCAGAGCGTTGTTGAGCTTGATGTCCATCAGCAGGCTCCCCTTCGCCTCCTGGAGGGTCTCCAGCTTGTGGGTGAGGCTTCCAATGAGCTCAGCCTGAAATGACAGATGAGACCGCAAAGATCAGCCAACAGGAGGTGCCAGTGGAAGCAGGAGTCACCTGCCCCAGCCGCCTTCTGTCATCTTCAAGGCTCAGCTGAATACCCTCCCCCTCCTCTATATGGAGTGTCCCCCAATATTATGCTATAATAGCCTTCTTTCCCTAAGGGTCTACCATTGCTTTTCTCTAAACCTCATATGCCAACACACAACCTTGTAATGTTCTCCATTGTGTCATGCTATGTACAGCTTTGCCTTCTAACTGGTTTCTTAACTATTTTAACTATTCTTTTTTTTTTTTTTTTTTGAGATGGAATTTTGCTCTTGTCACCCAGACTGGAGTGCAATGGTGTAATCTTGGCTCACTGCAACCCCTGCCTCCTGGGTTCAAGCAATTCTCCTGCCTCAGCCTCCCAAATAGCTGGGATTACAGGCGCCCATCACCATGCCTGGCTAATGTGTGTGTTTTTAGTAGAGACGGGTTTCATAATGTTGGCCAGGCTGGTCTTGAACTCCTGACCTCAAGTGATATACCCACCTTGGCTTCTCAAAGTGCTGGGATTATAGGTGTAAGCCACCGTGCCTGGCCAACTACTCATTTTTAAAAGTCCTTTTAAGACATGTTCTCATTTGATCCTCATGACAATACCATGGGTAAGTAGGCAGGTAGAGTAAACAGTACTCTTATTTTACAAATACAGAGGCCAAGGGTCAGAGGAATTAAGGGATTCGCCCAAGGTCTTAGAGTTGAGTTGAATATTAACTATAGCTACCATTTGTAGAGCAGTTGATATGTGCCATACATATGGAGAAACTCTACATTGATTATGTTACTTAGTCTTCCCAGCAATCTTACAGTAGATACTGTTTTATCTACCTATAACAAGGGAGGAAACTAAGATGGCCTAATGGTGCACACGTATCATCAGGTAGGGCTGCTGTGAACTCAAGTCAGCCTCACTTTAGGGGCCACCCATGTATAATTATTAGAAATTGACACCAAGACCTTTATCAGAAAGTCAACTCCTTGTTCTACCTCCCCTGTCTCCAGTTACCAGAGCTGTGCAATTCGACACCTTAATTTGACACATATTTTCATACTTATAAAACAGTGAGGCAAATACCCAATATATTTAACTGAAGGAAGGAAGTAAATGTCTTAGTGGCTTCTAGTTTGAATTCATTTATATTAAGTGTCTACTGCTTCTTTTGCAAAACAGAAATTAAACTACACGGTTTTTGTAATTAGGGTCTCATTTTTCTCTTAGCCTAAAATAGCTAGATGGAAAGAAGACAATGTTTTTTAGTTAAAACTTACTTTTTTTTTTTACCACTAAAAAGGTCCCAGCTCAACTGCACACACACACACATACTATATATATATATATATATATATATATATATATATATAAAATCAGTGTGTGTATATATACACACACGCCCCAAACTGACTTCAACTGGAAACTTGGTTAAACATAAAGGTTACAACTTCTATGTTGGACGTATATGTTCATTTTAAAGGAAAAATAAATAAATGAAACAGGAAAAACCTATTTTTGACCAACAGAATTGAAGGGTACTGACAACTTGTGTATTATTTCAATATCAGCACCAGAGAAGGTCCATGAGGAATGTAATCACAATGACTAGGGAAATATTTATTTCTCCACAATCTGCCCATCTTGGAGTTGGAGCGTCAGAGGTACTTCACAAGTGAGTGAGGTTCATAATGTCCTTGAAATGTCTAAGTTCTGGCTTTAATGGTGACATCTTGTTTTCTCAATCTGCCTAATCCTAGAGGCTGCAGGTGGCTAAAAAATTCACATCCAGGCCAGGCGCAGTGGCTCACGCCTGTAATCCCAACACTTTGGGAGGCTGAGGTGGGCGGATCACCTGAGGTCAGGAGTTTGAGACCAACCTGGCCAACATGGTGAAACCCCATCTCCACTGAAAAAAATACAAAAATTAGCTGGTTGTGATGGTGGGCATCTGTAATCCCAGCTACTAGAAGGCTAACGCAGGAGAATCGCTTGAACCCGAGAGGTGGAGTTTGCAGTGAGCCTAGATCGCACCACTGCACTCCAGCCTGGGTGACAGAACGAGACTCTGTCTCTAAATCAATCAATCAATCAATCAATCAATCCATATCTGCTGCACCATCTCATCACAGGTTATAATCTTTGGTTTTCCTCAAGCTGTTAAAATTGCTTAATATTAATTATTTAAGTTTTCTTATCTTCTCCTGGAAAAATTTCATTTTCCAAAAAAGCAATTCCGGCTGGAAGCTATGAAATTTACCTGCAAGGTAACATGTTATGTACCTCCAGCAAAATGCCTGGCAGGGTGTGATGATCTTTCACTGTGATATCAGCTCATATAGAGAAGATGGCAAGGATACTGAAATGCAAAGCAACAGGAAAAATAAACACTGCATGCTGTTGTACCTCCCAGCATTCCTGCTGGACTGGGTTAAGACAAGTCAAATGTCATCATTCCTGTTTTTCAGATAGATGAGAGAGAATGTCATCTACGTGAAGTCAGCCCAGGAATTTTTAACTTGTAGGGTACATTTCCTAGGCTTGTTGCTCTAGATGTTACTGGAAGACACTTAAAGACAACCGGGTTATACCAAATTGAAAGAGATAGTTATCATGGCAAAACATTCTTATCACTCCACCCTCAGGAAAAGGCCTTCGGCTCATTCAAATTTCAGGCGTCCATTTCAACCTCATGTCCTGAGAAGCAGAATTTCTAGAATGTCTAGAAAATGCTTTTTAAAAACTAAATAGTGGAAAGAAACAAGGTGCTTTTTTTCAGCCTGTTTTTCATTATTTCTATTAACGACTTTTTTGGAAACTAGTATTATGTGTTGTCATTTCTGGAAGGAACTAAAACACTTATTAAATTATTATTTCATGTGACCTCATTGTATTTAAAACTCCTCCTGTGGCTCTCAGAGGCTGTTTTTGTTTTGTTTTGTTTTGTTTTTTGGAGATGGAGTTTCGCTCTTGTTGTCCAGGCCGGAGTGCAATGGCGCGATCTTGGCTCACTGCAACCTTCGCCTCCCGGGTGCAAGTGATTCTCCTGCCTCAGCCTCCCGAGTAGCTGGGATTACTGGCACCCGCCACCATGCCCAGCTAATTTTGTACTTTTAGTGGAGATGGGGTTTCACTATGTTGGTCAGGCTAGTCTTGAACTCCTGACCTCAGGTTATTCACCTGCCTTGGCCTCCCAAAGTGCTGGGATTACAGGTGTAAGCCACCGCGCCCAGCCAGAGGCTGCTATTTTAAAGGATGTGTGTGATGCTTATCAATTTGCAAATGGGCAGAAACCAAGGATAAGTAGTTTGCTCTTGTATGTGGGGGTGAGTGATGAGAGGAGAGAACTCTTCCTTTCAAATTTGCTGCTGAACTCAGCTCAAAAGCTCTCGCGGGCACTTAAGCAGATCAGCAACACTGCAGGGTGGCCCTGAGGTGAGCATGGCTCAGTGGACTGGAAGGATCAAAATAACTTGACCCAGCTGAACTGCAATCAGGCTTCAGACACAGCTGTCCAACCTACCTCATCTTTCCTTCCCAGACCCTGTTTTGGTTTTCAGAGACATCAGTGCTGGGCAGAACCATAAATAAATCTGTCACAGGAGCATGTGTGTACCCCAGGCTTCACGGTACAAGAAAGAACAGAATGAGATGAAAATGTATAGAAGTGACGCAGGGAGGCTTCTGTGGAAAGAACCAATATACATTTTGTGGCATTCTGATTTTGGAAAGTTATTAATATTTGCTGGACTATAATGTGACATCTCACAGCTCAGCCATAGATGCTAAGGCCAGAATTACTGAGTGGTCACATCAGTCACTCCTGGCTGAATGTTCCTCAGGTAGATGGCATTTCAATTTTTTTAAAACCCTAACAAGCCCCTTAAAATATGAGAATTTGAATTTAAAAATGCAATTAAGAGGGATTTGAGAAACTGACAGCAGCAAGAGAAAGCTGGCTGTACTAAATAGCCATTTCTTTGCCAGGCAGATCTCTTCCAAAAAACCTACCAATTTCTACCAGAATAACTCACCGGGGGAGGGAGAAGAGGTGTGTTTTGTTTTAAATAACACACTAGTCTCTCAGGAGCTACTTAATTTGTAAAATCATTTATCCACTTCTCATCTGGCATAAACTGTTAGCTCACCCTGTGTGAGATGCTATTTATAAGAGTTCTTCCTCCAAACATAGCTTCGCAGACCCTTCCTCCCACCTCATCCTCTGCAGAAAGGTCCTGCTGGACCCTTCCCCACTTCCTGCCTGCAGCAGGATGAACACTGGACAAGGAGGCAGGAGGATCTGACATAAAATTCGGCATCAGGCAAGTCACTTGACTTTCTGTGTCTCAGTTATCCACAGCAAGAAGAAAATAACGCCTGCTGAAAACTAATAATAATGTCAGCTCTTTCTCTGTGCCAGACACCATTTAAGTGTTTCACTATTCAATTACTACTTGCAACAACCCGCTGAGAGAGGTATTATTATTATCTCCATTTACTGATGAGGAAAGTGAGGAGGATAGAGGTTATTTAACTTGTTCAAGGCCACACAGCTGGTAAGTGACAGAGCCAGGCTTAAATGCAGATCATCTGGCTTTCATCACTATATTAAAATAGCTCATAAGAATACTATGAGGCTCACACAAGGCTGGCGGAAATCACAACATATGATATTAGTTTCAAAAGAAGTCATAATAGAAATAAAGCCCTGAGGATAAAAAGAAAAGCCTTGTTTCTTTCCACTATTGAGTTTTTCAAAAGCATTTTCTAGAAATTCGACTTCTCGAGACATGAATGTTGAAATGGATGCCAGAAGTTTGAAGAGTTGAAGGCTGATGCAATCACTTTGGAAAATATGAAAGTATTATACACATTCTAATTATTTTTTGTGCAGTCGTAAGATTAGACAACAATTTGAAGATAACACACCACTCAGATAGATGTCTGTAGGGGGAATAC